GTTCAGTGTTATGTTGTAGTGTGGAAGGTGAATTCAGAGGTAAAAATATTACTGGAGACAGCACAGCTAGCACCCTCAAGTACATTATTTATCTTCATGATTTCAACATCATATCAGAATTTAAACTTCCTTTCTGTGATAGTCTAAGAAACAGATTTTTTTCAATTTCACTTTGGTCTAGACCACAAGACACTTAACTACTACTAAAATGCCAGAAAGAAATACAAAGAGAAAGACAACTCCCATTAAGGTAGGTATATGTGAACACAAGCAAGGTTTTTTTTAAAGATATATTTATTTGAGAAAGAGTGTGTACACAAGTCAGTGGGGGGAGGGGCAGAGAGAGAATCTTCAAGCAGACACCCTACTGAGCCTGAGCCAGGACTCCATCTCACAACCCTGAGATACTGACCTGAGCTGAAACCAAGAGTTGGAGGTTTAACTCACTGAGCCACCCAGGTGCCCTGCAGTGTATTTTTTCACTACAGAATGATGTACATGGGAAGTTTAGCATGCTTAATAATAATGAGATCTTAGTTATGTAAAGAATAATGGCATCAAGATCTGATAATCTTGTGCCTTTCTCCTGGAAATATCTAGCTACCTATCCCATGAGTCTGGACCTTGGCACTTTTCTTCCAGTCATTGTTCAGAGAGAGTTACCCACCCCTGGTTCTTTGGGCTTTCAGTTTCAGTTCTTAATCTTAGAATAAAGTTTTCGTTCATAAACATTTCTCAAACAGGATTTTTTGCTAAGTATTGTTGTGTTTCCCTTTCCCCATAAATAAAATCACTGAGTTCCTGATTATGAAAAGAACATATCCACATTACAAAAAATCTGAAGCTACAGATTTAAAGAAGTAAAAATCATTTGAACACCCATAACTTCAAGATAATCATTATTAACATTGTAATGACTGATTCATGATCTTTGTAAGCACCATATACATCAGATCTCCTCTTCCCTCGCCCCCTCATTCTTACTCTTATTCTTATTCTGTTCCTTTAACCTCTCTTCTACCCTTCATTTTCCAAGATAATTAAAGTCTAGATAACCAGTTTTAAAAACCTACTGTGTACATTTTCATACTTTATGTGGTATTCATATAATGAAATAAAGTTACATAGGTACATAATAGAGATAGATAGATGATACACAGGCTATAGGTAGGCAAATTTTATGTAAATAAATAAATATATATATATTTGTCATGTATGTTCTAATAATAGGATCACATTTTTTCCACTGTTCAATTTCATATTTTTCTCATTTAATATGGAAATTACTGCCTTCTTTTAAATGCTCTATAACACAGATGGTAGATACACCATGGTATGAATATCATGCCATTATTATAGTAACTTTTATTCAATCTTTCTCCACTACCTTCATGCACAGTCACTTGTTTTTTTACTTTCTACCAGAAAAATGTTATAAGAGACATGCTTGTAAGAAAATACTTTTATGGTGTATTTTAATTTGTTTGGTATACAGTCTCCAGGGTCATATTGCTTAATACAAAGATCTGTTTATTTTTCAAGAGGTCTGCAACAATTCATATTTCTATCAGCAAGGTGTGAGAATACTACATCTCTATGAGCAGCAGGTGTTATCTTGATTTAATTTTCCCAATATGAAGTGCATAAAGTGATATGACTCTATTACTATAATTTAGATTTTTTTTTTTTGCTACCCAGAGAGGTAGAGAATCATTTCCTGTTCCATTTGATGTCTTCTAAATTTTTTCTAAAATTCTGATTTTATTTATATATTTACATTTGAGACTGTCTAGATTTGTTTCTCATCCCAGATGGATAGTAAGTTGTATGATTGCAATTTAGAGCATAAACCATCTGTATCACACCAAACTGAAATATCTGCTTTGTCACATATAAAGGATCCATGTACATTGGTATTTATTTCTAGATACAAATATTTACAATTTTAATTTCATATTTTAGTGTATTTACTAAATCCACTAAACAATATGGAACATTAAGGGAGAAAGCAATCATTTGTGTGTTGTTCCTGGTTTTAGTAGAAATAGGTTCTATTATTTACAATGATGTCTGTTGATGACTTTAGGGGTCTCTATGATATTTTGGTAGTTGGCCTCTTTTGCCCATTTTATGAGCAATTTGAATTTGCAATAGCCTCTGAGCTTATCAAATAATTTTTAGCACATATAAATAATGATCATATGGTTTTTCTTCATTGATTGAATGATATTACAGATTAGGTTAAAAGGTTTCTTGATATATAAAGATTTTTTTTATACTTCCACACATACATTTCTTTTTAAGTTTTTATTTAAATTCCAGTTAGTTAACATACAGTGTAATATTTGTTTCAGGTGTAGAATTCAGTGATTCATCACTTCCATATAACACCCACTGCTCATCACTACAAATGCCTTCCTTAATACCCATCACCTATCTAACCCATTCTCCCACCCTGCCAACCTCCCTACAGTAATCATCAGTTTGTTCTCTATAGTTAAAAGTCTGTTTCTTGGTTTGCGTCTCTTTTCCCCCTCCTTATTCAGTTGTTTTGTTTCTTAAATTCCATATGTTTGTGAAATCATATAGTATTTGTCTTTCTCTGACTGACTTATTCATTGACTATAAAACTTTCTAGCTCTATCCACAATGTTGTAAATGGCAAGATTTCATTCTTTTTTATGGCTGAGTAAGATTTAAAGATTTTTGCATTCCCTGATATAAATACTAATGTGTGCAATGTATACTTTTTTTTATCATACTTAGTCTTGATTTCCCAGAAATTTATTTAATTTTTGTGCCTACATTAATGAGACTGGTCTATAGTTTTAGTGTGAGTTTATTTCGTTTTGTTTTATTTTTACTAGTTACTCAAGCTTCAGTATAAAGGTAATAATGGCTTCATTCAATGAGTTGGGGAGATTTCCATCATATCTGATACCATACGGCCCTGGTAACTTTATTTTTTTTAATTGAGACTCTTTAATTGCTTTTCTAAACTTTTCATAGGTAATTTCTTCTCCCTAATAAGTTTTGATAATTTACAATTTTCTTTAACAACATATTTCTGAATATTGAAATACCTTGCATTCCTGAAACAAATATATGTTTATAACATATACAGTATGTATGTGTAACTTTTTTTAGATATATTTATACGCAAGGGTCTTATGGGTTTTGAGGGGGTTTTTTGCTCTTTTAGCTTCCTATTTTCATGGCTATTAGCCTTCTCTTCTAATTTTATTTAATTGTTCTTTTTCACTGTTTATATCTTTATTTGGGTTAACAAGTAGTTTGTCTTTTCAGTTACTTCAGCTAGCTAGTTTGAATTTATTTGTTCTACATTGTACCTGTTTTCTAATTTTAAAACTTTTTCTTTTACCTTTATTAATCCCTGTCTTCTGCTTCATTTTGTATTTGCTCTTCTTTCTCTACATTTTTCATTTGCATGTTCAATGCATTTACTCTAATTTTTAAAACTCAAATTCTTATTTGTTATGGTTTCCTAAATTTCATTTTAAGAAATTCTTCAGTTTTGCTTTTATATACCTTTAGAAAGAAAATTTGTTTAATATAGCCCTTTAACATCCTATTGGAGAATTCTTGTTCTATATTTATTTATAGTTTATAGAAAAATTAGCTCACTAAAAGAAGTTGTTTTTTCCACCCATGAATATTTCAATATTAATTGCTAAGCACAAGGACTATTTTTTAAAAAAGATTTGATAGAAAGATAGCATGAGCGGGGGTGAGAAGCAGAGGGAGGGAGAAGCAGACTCCCTGCTTCCCAATGTGGGGCTCAGTCCCAGGACCCTGGGATCATGACCTGAGCCAAAGACAGACGGTTAACCTACTGAGTCACACAGACAGCCTGCATTAGGACTATTTTTAAATATATTATAATATCTCTAAAAAATTAACTATAACTCATTAATATAATTTAATATTCTAAATCTAGCATTAGTAAATTACATCTAAAAAGAGGAATTTTTCTTCATTAACTACTCAGTTACCCTAAAGTACACTTGGTACTGTTAGGGTCTGTGATCAAAGGAATGGGACTGACACAAAGCGAAAGTCAAGCAAAGCTTTATTTTGCGCCAAGCATCTAAAATCAAACCGACCAGTCGGGACCATCTCTTACAAAGAGGCGACAATGACCAAGACACCGACCCCGACAAATTCACTTATCCGACAACGATTCCCCTACCCGACCACGACGCTCCTGGTGGCACTGCTCCCCAGCGAGGCCTCTCCCAAGGATCCCCACGATCCCCACGCTCCCCATGATGCTGCGCCTGACGTTCCCCCAGGCTATCACTTCCTCCCCTGCCTCACAGACTAACCTTTATAGAGGTGGTTGATCCCTGCCCACACACAGGTGGCCAATGAGATTGCAACATACAGGGAAACCTGCACAGTCACCCTCTGTCAGCAATACGGGTGGCCAATTGAATTCTAATTCACCATAGCAAATATATGCGCGCCCCACTGATTGGATGTCTCCATCCGGCCTGGCCTGCCCCAATATCTGGGGTTTGCAAGCAAGTTCTTCTGGGAGGGGTGGGGTCAATCTAAGTTTATAACCAAACGGCTCCCTCTGGCTAACCAGGCCCCTACAGGTACATGAAAGTAAAGTATATGTGTGCCCTTTCTCTTTACTTACCAGGTGACAGAATAATGAATTTTTCTCTAGTATTCTGCAAAGGAGACCAATGAGATTTTTTAAAATCAAATCTTCAAAGTCAAAGGAAATTAACTTCTATAACGAAAAATTGGAAGATTTTAGCAGCTTGACACTTAGTGTTTGATCATACCACAGTCCAATATAGTTGTCGGAGGGGGTATGGTATCTGCCACAGGGACTGTCAGGACACGGATCCCTTTCATCTTGAGATGCTTCCATCTTCAACAAAGTTTCCAGAGTCTGCAGGAAGGAAAAGAGAAAGTGCATAGATAAGACTTGTCTTATCTTTCTTAACTTTCTTAACCCAGAAATAGTATACCATTTCTTCTATATCTTCCACTGGTAATACTTCATTACAAGGCCACATCTCTATGGAAAGGGATAGAAAACACAGATTAGCTAAGTGCTGGGGAGGGAAGGAGATGGATTAAGATAATATGTGACACAGTCTCTGTCACAAGAACTGTTAGGGTCAGAAACTGTAAAGAGTCTGAAAATGTACCCTACTTAAAAGCTAATAGGTCACTTTCATATATATATATATATATATATATATATATATATATATATATATATATTATACATACACACATAACACAAATACTATATATGTGTTCTATATATGAGATATATATAAAAATAAGTGTATGGCATGCTAACATATTTTATCTACAGAAAACATAAAACCTATGGTTCAGAGACAAACACTTATTACTGAAAGCAAAAGCAGCAGCCATAGCAACATTTTGTGTTTGTTTCCCAAGCTGCAATCCCTGAAGGAAAATGTATTAGGGGCCAGAGGGTACTTGCACATGCAATGGGGAGCATTATAGAAGAGGAAACTTAAAAATTAAGAAATTGATCATATATGGGGCTGCTAATGACTTTCTCAACTCTCTCTCCCCCAGAGAAAGAGGAATGTTATCTTCACTCTGTAATATTGGCAAATATTTTCTGGAGATATGGAAGAGATGTTTCTATCTTTACTACCCTGAACCATGTCTGGAGGACAGATGTGTATAAACTTTACTATCTGGAATATCTCTTTGTTCAACTATTCTCAAATTAGAAATGTGAAATATTCATAGATGATTGTCTTCCTACAAGAACCAAACAAAAACTTTTTTAAAAATCAGACTTTTATGAAAATGATAAATTTATTAACTGCCTTCCCAACACTTAGTTTGGCAGAAAATATTTATAATTAAACACATTGTATAAAAATATCTGTATTATTTTATTTTGGGTATTTGCTGTCACATTTTCTATTATACTAATCTAATTTACACTGCTGGTACACTGGAATGTCTCCTTTACATTATTCTAGAACCCCTGGGTGATGGCACAGCAACTATTTCTTTCCTTGTAAATTCTGTTCTCACCAAACAGAGCTGTTTTGTCTTTTCCCTGTACTGGCCTATCTGTTACAGTGTATCCACACTTCTCAAAATGGAATGATTTTCTCCTTTCTGTTTAAATTCAAAACCAACCAGTTCTTTTTGACTCATTAATCATCATTTGCGGGATAAAATCTTTTTCATCCCATCTAGGATCTGGATTAATGAGGTAATGTATGTAAGTGCCTAGCATAGAGCTTGACATTATGACATAATAAATTGTAGTTTATTTTTCTTCCTCTAAACGCTCACAATATTGTCTAAGTACCTACCACTTTTAATCATGTGTTATAGATTGGCATTTGTATTAACTCTCCTATCAGACAACTGATTCTTCAGTGACATAAGCCACCCTGTATATGCATTACAGAATCCTCTGCAGTGCTTAGCTTAGTGCCAGAATGAATTAATAATACATTAGAAAGGTGGATAGATTCAGTGACTAAATGAGTGACTGAATAAATGGATTTTAGTACTATTAAAAGCAAATGCTTATATAGCACATAATATGTAAAAGATATTGTTTAAAATTCTAGATATGCATTTTTGCTTCCTTAATCTTTAAAATAATCCTGAAATGTAGATTCTACTATTTTACTGAATCACAAATTAAGATACTGATGCCAAAAGAGGTTAAGTAACTTGCCCCAGTTACTCAGTTCATTAATGGCTGAACAGTCTTCAAATCCAAGCCAAGTAGATACCCCTAATATTACATTATCTTGAATAAATGATTATGGTGAGTGAAGGACATATTAACTGACTGGTAGCTCTTCTTCCATGATATTGTATAAGGACATCCTCTTAGTAAATATGGAAACAAAGAGCATAATCTTCTGCTACTTAATGAGAAATGGAGAGATATTTAACATGAAATCTTTTGCAAATATCTGTTGCTGCTGCTGCTGCTGCTGGCATTCCTGCTCAGTAACTTAAAAAAAAAAGAAAAAAAAAAGATTTATGCAAAACAGCTGAATCCATGGGGAAGTAAAATTTATTACTTCCATACTGAACTGTATGTGTGAAAGTTGCGATGAGGGTAAAGATTTCATGTTCTCACCATAACAATGACAATAACAAAATGGTAATTATGTAAGGTAGAGGAGGTGTTAACTAACCTTATAGTGGTAAACATTCCTATATATGTATATCAAGTCATCACATCATATACCTTAAACATATACTATGTCATACATCAGTTATATTCTTTTAAACTGGAAAAAAAAATTATTACTAATTATGGCTATGGTGTCCAAACCCAGTGTCCACACCTGTTGAAAGATGAATCTTGATGAGCCACGGAAGTCTTTCTGCCCAAACCATCATCTGGCTTGTTTCTTACCCCATGGTTCCTTTCCTAAGGCTTCCAGTTTGGTTTCTGGGTCAGATCACAAACCTAAGATAGAAGACATTTTTAGGCCTGCTTTGTTATGCTAAAAGTATGAAATTCAAAAGAGTATAACCCAAAGGAAAATTCAGAAGTTGTTGTTGGGCTTAAACATGGAAAGAGAGAACAATGTCTCTCTTTCAAGGTAAATTAAAGGGAGAAAAAAAAATCTTTGAAATGCTTCATAGGCCTAAATGGTAAAATTGGACTTTGGCAAATACCTGGATAAATATGACATTTCTTCTTCCATCACCTAAAACAAGAATAGTTCAAATTTTGTCTTTATCCATTCTCTTATAAGTCCAACCTATAGTGGATGCTTAGGCAGGGGCTCAACTCTGCTTCCAGGCTAACTCCACAGACCTCCTCAGCAGTCCATTCTAAATGTAGTCTGCAGGAGAGCATTCTAATTTTAAAGGATTTTAGAACAAGACTTCATTTTTATGTTTTCATGAGTTGACTTTTACCACAGTAAGTCAATGGGCTTTTTGACTCTTAAAGAGGAAAGCTACAGTTTGAAATTATAATAAACTATTATTATTTAAATTTTAAATTTTTGGAAGATAACAACATGAAAAATAGTCAATAAACTATGATACCAAGGTCAACAATTTTTAGTATTAAAATCAATTTACAGTATGTTTGCTTGAGGTGCACATAAATTTGAAGAGGCAGTAAGTGTAAACAGAATAGCTGATTTCTTGGATGCACTCCAATATAATTATAGCTATTCACCCTTGTGACTATATGTGTGCGCAGCTTAAAGCTATTTCCCTGCCCCAAGCCACACTATTTTTTTAGGTAGGTTTGCAATTGATTGAAATGCAAAATCTCTGTGAACTAGGAAAAATACTATCTAAAATAAATATACAAGTAAATTTAAATACTAGATTAAACATGTATTTTGGTATCCATGTCAATTCATAGCCCGTAATCTCATGACTTGGAATTGAGTTATCTCTAAGTATTTAATCACAAAATAGTGTATTTCTAATAGGCAATTGTGAAAAAAAATCATCAATCACATTTATTACAAACATCTCATAAAACAGCAAAACGTTTATGGGATTGTAGAAGGCAGCTAGGTTTTTCTGTAATGTATAAAGATTTGCATATATAAAAAAAACAGCAGGCAGCAAACAAGGTTTCTCTGTTTTCCAAAAAGTAAAATTGCATTTGATATAATATCTACTTAATTTTTATTAAAAATAATAAACATATTTTTCTGGTGATAGCATTGATCATCACCATAGTCTAATAAGTTTGTATTTTGAAATAACTAAGCTCAAACCTTAACATATAGAAAAAAATTCTTTCTCCAGCCCCAGGGGTAAATCAGAGCGTCTCAAACGTATTTGTGATGTTAAATTATATTACCTTGTATTTCATGCAGATATATGCATCTGTGAAATTGTTATTGTTTTTTTATTATTGTTTTGTTTTCTATGATGAACATATTTAAGTGAAAATAGTGGTCTCAAAATAATTCTGTTTTATTAGTTTACATAGCTGGCATTGTTTGTATGTGGGTAAAAATAAAATGTGATTTCACGGAGAGAAAGTGGAGCTCTTTTATCTGTAGCCTTAAGGCCACCAACTGTCTATACCTTAATCCACTAATCCCCTCTGTAATCATGTGTTCACGTGCTGTGCCAACACTCAGAAATCATTCTAAGAAACTCTTTTTTTCCTAGTCAACAGTACATTCACTATAGGTTGTATGCTATAAGATGGCTACTAAAATATTTGAATATTTACATGCTATCATTGAAAGCAAACATCTTTAGGCATGTCTTTTCCTTTAAAAAAACAAATGTCATTAAAATTCTAGAAACAGAACAATAAAGAGAAAAATGAATGACATCACACTGTATAAATCTGCAGGATTTTTTACATTTGGCTTTCAACTAATATTTTTAAAGATTCTGCCTTCTATTTACTTGTCAGAGACTAGATTTAATTTCCGTATGCTGCAAAGAATTCTCCATGTTAAGATATTGATATAACAAATTGCTGAATGTTTTAGTGATTGATTCTTGCTGACCAAAATGGGCTTTCACATTAGAAGTCTTTCTTTTTTTCCCTAGAAGGCACCTGCTGAGACAGAAGTCTGACTGCCACACAAAAGAAATATATGGTTTCTTCAACTGGCTCCATGTAGCAATTTGCAATGCTATCAAAAATTGCATTTTTTTAATGAAAATTACCTAAGGATTTGGCAAAAAAAACCGTTGGTTAAAATGGACTAACTACCCATTCTCAGGCAGTATTAGCATACTGATTGGCCGTTACTTCTGTCACTCTTCTGCCTACAAAATTATGACAGGCCCCACAGCAGGAAGCAAATGATCATTAATACCCTGTCCTCTGGGACACAATAAACTGCCATTCACTTGCATACAAATAAAATATACAAGGCTTGTCAGCAAGGGGACAAAAAGGGAAAGATGCTTTTGCAAAATGGTGTGATAACAACTGTGTGATGGGACCACTCAAAGGGTTTTGTTTTTTGGTATATCTCATTGTGGTAGGAAAATTCTTATATATAGATTTCCTTTTAAAATATCCTATCATTCTCTACTTGAGCTCTTTGAGTTCTTCACTCAAATTATAAAATCTTGTTTCTGAGGAGAAAAAATTTTATGATCGTATAATTAATTTCACAACACAGAAAGCATTAAAAAATTCTGAAATTCCATTAAAACATAAGACAATGCATTTTTTTTCACTTCAAATATAATTTGCAGGCACTGTCTGGTTAATGCATTTGAATAACCCTGTTGCAATTAGTAGGGATGAAACATACTGCTCAATATCATATACTTGATGTGATGGGATCAATAAAAATAAAACACAATTGGAAAAAAGATACATGCATGGTATTGCAGTTGAAACTCTACTGTCTATTTGTTACACTAAAAGGTAAGGTCGAATTAAAATTTAATAAAATATTGTCATATGACTGAGATTGTATATTCTTATCCCCAGACAATTTGAGATTGAGGAATAAAATAACAGCAATATTTTATAAAGAATAGTGAATGCTTACGTCCTTCGATATTTGTTCAGCCAACAATTAATCAGATAAATGTTTAATTTTCAATCATCTAACCTAAACTTTTCCTGAAAGCATGGAGAAAATACAAACATTCCTGGCAGATCCAGATGCTTGTTATAGATTATATACTCACAGTCTAAACCTATAAAGGCATTATTTTTAACTTAAAAAGGTATAGAATGAACATATTTAGATTCTTCAAATTTGGATTGCTTAATTAGTTTAATTTATTGCTTTTCCTAAATTTTTGTTCTCCTTGTGAATTTCCAATGAAACAGACAGATGTTATGCTCAGGGATTTGAAAGTAGGTATTTATATACTCCCAACTTATGAATCAGCTTTAAAAGAGTTCGAATAAGAGACAGTTGCTGATTATATCATTTAAACTCTAGGCTAAAAGGAACAAACTACTAATACCCCAGCAACATAGATGAATATCAAATGCATTATGCTAAATGAAAGAAGCAGATTCAAAAGTCTATATAATGTATGATTCCATTTTTATGACATTATCTAAAAGGTAAAACTATAAGTACAAAAAAATAGGTCAATGTTTTCCAGAAGCTGGAGCTGAGAGAAAAAGTTAACTACAAATAAGCATAAGGAATTTTTGTATGTGGTGGAGCTATTCTATATCTTGATTTTAGTGACAGTCACACAGTGATGTGCATTTGTCAAAACTCATAGAATTGTACACTAAAATGAGTGAATTATACTGTATGTAAATTATACCTCAATAAATCTTACTCTAAAAAAGAACAACTCTAGTCTTAGGAGCATCAGGAGAACATCAGAATATTCTAAATTGAGGTCATTTAGTCTGGGCAAAGTAGCAGAAATGACAGTCGTATCTTTAGAATTGGGCAGTTAGAAGCAGTTTTTGTAATTGCCCGTAGTGATACAGCTCCCAATGTTGAATGTTAGAAGACCGAGAGTAGATTAAAAAATACTCATTGCTATTTTAATGTCTCCCTCCAGTAGCATCAAGCAACATTTCAATATATTAGTTAACACATTTTACCAGATATAGAGATTATCATCTTCAATGAGAAAAGAAAAAGTGTCAGAGAATGCAGTTCTGTTAGGCACACTAACTCCTTCCCCTTTCCTTGACTTGCAGAAGCAAGGTGGGAACACATTTAGGCCTTAGGACCAATCTTATCACAATACAGACTACTATTAAAAATAGTAAATTGAAACTATAAAATTGAAAGAAAAAGATCAATAGTAAAATTTCCATGAATGGACTTAGTAACAGATTAGTCATGTTAGAGATGTATCAGTAGAAAAACATGTGGAATGAAGCGTGGAAAGAGGACAGAAATTTAGAAACAGAAAGAGAAGAAAGCATATATGGGAAATGGGAAATAGAATTACATTTAATTGAAGTCTCAAAAGAAGACAAAAGAGAGAATGGAGTAAAGATATATTTGAAAAAAATATATATGGTTGAGAATTTCCCAATTGTGAAAATAGACATCACACCTGAGCTTCAAGATATCTGCAAAAATCAGGAAAATATCTACAAAAAATGCCACCAAAGGGTGGCATTATAGTATTTACTATATTATAGTAAAAGTTCTGAAAATTAAAGAGAAGGGAGGGGAAAAAGCTATAAAAACAGATTTTTAAAAAATAAAATAGTGACAACCAATTTTTCAATAGATAGAATGGAAACCAGAAGACAATATAGCAATATTTCTAGGTGCTATAAGAATATAATTGACATATTAGAAGTTATACTTCAACCCTCAGAAAAAAAAATAAATTTTTCAGTCAAAAATAAACTGAAAATAGTTATTACCAGGAGTTTTGAAATAAAGGGAATACTAGTGAGAGTTCTTCAAGTGGAAAAGATATTATCCCAGAAAAAAAGGCACAATCATATAGAAAGGAATAAAAAACAACAGGAAAGATATTTGAGAAACTCTAAATAAACATTGACTTTAA